TTTGGTGCAACGCAGACACCATCGTGGAAATAATAGAAACGATGCCAGGTAGTGTATCCTTTAGAGTGCCAGGCAAAAGACATGTCTAATCTCGTCGTGAAGTCCACGAGGAGTAGTATGGAACAGATTTCTCTTTTACTTGGCCTCAAAAAGCCCTAACATTATTTATTACTCGGATGCTAACCATTCCCACTCGACAATATGTATCTCCTATATAAAAATGCACCGTTATGCATACTTTGAAAATGATTTATTATCCTATCCAAAGTTAAGAGAACATTGGACACTCGATATTTTCTTTTACAAGCTGCTCTAGGTGGTGCCATGAGTCGAAGTGAAACTGACTCACACCTTTTGACGTAATTCTAGACCCTCTCACAAAAGCTTTTTCTAGACTTACAACATCTTGACATACTAACCCAATCCGTGTGATTCCCTCTATAACTTTTCCTCTCTTTCGCCATCGCTGTTGTTGATTCTGCTCTTCTGGCTTGACAACCTAGACGAATTCATTGAAATCAAGAAATTTTAACGTCTAGATGCGACGAAGTTTTATCGAATAGATAAAATTACGTTTGAGAGAATGCATGCACTATAGATAATATCTATAGAGCATCGATTCTCTCAAACGTGATTTCTGAACGAATTGCTCTTCCTCAAGTATTGGAGTTGGCAATTGTGTAAGACTTCTCCCCCTTGTCTTACAGTATTTGCAATCTTTCCACCACCTTCATTTGCATCTTCCGCACATCAACATATCCCTAACTTGTATCAGTTGGAGGCGGTCAATTCAGAATAGAGGAGGTCAAGGTAAAGAAAGCTCTCGGGTAATTTTTCAATTGCATGCTCCATCACCAAGCTCTCATGTCTTCAGCTTACAATACCGCTCGGAATTGCATCTCAGCTATGTCAGGATATGAGGGGAAAGCAGGTCTCTAAATATTGGCGGGTAGCCGCAAGATTTTGTTCCGAAGTTACACGACCGGAGCTCAAAGGGGACTAGCGGATTGTCACATGAAGAAACTTGACTACGATTCGTACATTTACATTCTGACTCGTCAAGTAAAACGAAACGGAAGAAATTTCTCAAATGGAAATAAAAACCATCGAATTCGTCCGACTCAACAATTTTTGGCGGACCGCGCTCGCCGGCTCTCCAACTTGCTCATCAAAGGTTGGTTGTTTCAATTTTCAAGAAAAAAAAAACACACACAGCACAAAAACCTGGAAATGAGATTAGAAGAATACTGAAATTTGATTTCGTTTCAAGCAGATCAAATAAATTATAAGTATATCTTTTAAAATACACACTTAAAAAGTGTGTATTTTAAAAGATAATAGAAGCAGAAATTTATTTATACTGTGAAAAATTAGCGTAGTATATTAGAAGACAAGAATGAAAAGTTGGGTAATGAGAGTAGTTTATCATCGAGATGAAAGAATTCTGATTCTATGTTATGCTTAATCTTACATAGTACGTCTATAAGTTATCTGGAAATTCTTGGAAGGAAGATATTTACATTCGATGTGTGTTAGAAACTTTCAGTGAGTCAGTTACGCAGAAAATTGACTGGTCACGTGTTTATATTTGTGCGAGCGGGTTGACCTGTTAACAGCTTTCTTGAAATGAAAAGGAGAATTGTGTGTTAAGAAATTATCAACCACAGCGCATGAAGCCACTTATTGTTTCGCGCTGGTCGGCAGGAAAGGGACTGGATATCATCGAAGAATTCTAAAACTTTCGGCGCATATTTACTGCAACTAGTCAACATTCTTTCGTGGAATGGACGAACTAAATGGACTCCAAAAGATTTTGACGTTGTGGAGTGGATCAAAAGATCACAAATAACGGGATTTGTGAGAAAGGCAAGAAGGGGAGTACTCCCTCTGGCTCTGTAGAAGTAGTAGGAGCCCCAGTCTTGGAAACCGCATCCGATCTGGCGAGCATCGGCCGCGAAGGCTGTAATCGTGCAGCGAGTTGGTGACATCCACAAGCTGCACGAACACAGTGTTACGAAACCGATCGAGAAGAACCCAAGTCCGCGAACTCAGCGCTGCCCATGTCCGCCTCCGAGTGGTGGTCTCCACTCCAGCTCAGATCGTCCGCCACATCGCTCAGACGCGTGAATATACTCTCGAGCCAGCAGTCCACATTTTCATCGTTCAGTTGGCACTTTCATCATCGCCTCGTCCGTCCTTGCGTGCCGACCATCGATGCGGCGCCGCACATCGGAGAGTGGAGCGAGTGCGAGCGTCCTTATAATCTCGTACTCGGGGCCGTCGATTTGAGATATGCTTGCGAAAGATCCTCCGAGCAAGACGTCGTTGCAGCAGCCCTTGTTCTTGTAGGCATCGAGGTCACTGTAAAATAAGGACTGCCCGGAACTGAGAGTCCGCAGAAGCGTTCCCTTGATCGGGACTCACGTACAGTCCAGAAGACGAACAGGCGCGGGCATGAAAATCCGAAAGCTCCAGCGCTTATCTGAGCTCAGCGCGGATTGTCCGAAGGTCCAGACCCGAGACAAGCAGGATCCTGCGATGTGTTATTGTGGGTTGCCTAGTCCGTTCTTCTCCGTTCTGTATGCAATTTTGACACAAGAACGCCTCCATACCCTTCCATTCGCGTGCTGCCATCGACCGAGTCACAGCGTGCCTGCCGGAGGGACTGCAGTGGCACCCGGACTACGTACGTAGTCCGGGCGTGGTCGGCCTTGAATTCCCATGGGGGGTCCCGTTGGAGTCCTGGGGAATGATTCTGAGTCTCTGACGCTTGAGGATCGAGTCCAAGATGTCGGACGAGGCATCTTCGATTCTTCTTCCTGACACGGATGGTTTCCGAGGGGCACGTCTGGATTCCAGCAGCAGCAGCACTCGAGTGGTGCGCTCGACTCGTGATGGTCGCAAGTTGACGAGCCGGCGACAGATTCTCTGCTCGGATGGCTGTGCAGATCAGACCAGCGTGCAAGGCGGCTTTCGATGAGCTCATTAACACGTCAAGGGCTGGGCTCAATTGCTATACTGACGTGGAATTTCCTGCCACACGTCTGCCGATGCCCTCGCTCCTATAATGAACCTGCCTCATGCATTTCGCAATGTGAAAGACATCTGCTTCCCGATCCATATCCACTTACGTTCTCTCCATCAGAAATCTGTGAACAGAGAAGGAGAAAGAGAGAAAACTCGACAAATCATCACGAGCTCAGCCACTCTCCCGTCCTTTCCATCCCGTCAGTAAACGAATCAGGCAAACAAGATCAACGATCAAACGGTTTTCATGATCCACTTTCTGCAGCCTGATCAACGAGTGATCTCGGAAGCCAGTTGTAGGATCAGAAGCAAAGAATCTCCGTGCATCACCACATTGGTTTCTTAATTAAACTCGGTCATATTGGTAAAGGATTCTTGTTGATATGGGAAATCCGTACTGAGATCAAATTCACACACCCACACATCGAGTTCTAAAGGAGCCGCTCTGATTGCCATGCTTACGAAGGTGAAGATCGCAAGCACTCAGAAACGGAAACCTCCCAAGGGCTGAAGGTAGCCCATCGTCTTCGAATTAGGTCTTCAAGTCGACGAGATCTGATTTCGATGATCGCATATAGCCCCAAGCTTCGCAGCTTGTACAGCCAGAGACGTAGGTTTTTCTGTCCCGATGAGATCTGAGTCGTCCGACAATTCGTGCTATTTTCGCAATACCACGTCGGACTGGAGTCCCGACGATGTCAGCAGAGATTTCGCACACAAGGTTTCGACAGTACCCTCTGCCAAGAGAAGGCTTCGAATGGCCCGTCTGCCGTGTTGCTGTTTCCTCCGCTACGCCGTCGAGAAACAAGGAGGACATGTCGAGCGGCGTTCGGTGTTCACATGCCAGCCGTACTCAACAGGCCCAATGATGTCGATGAAGGTGCTGCCTCGGTGGAGACTCAGCTGGCCTTCCGCACTGGAGGCTGGAGATTGGAATGGCAATGCAGCTGTTGACCGCTTCGAATTCTTTCGGCACTGATCGTTTCCTCGTAATCCTCGATACGGCGTTGCATCGGTTTGCACGGGCCTCTAGACTGCTGACTTCTGACGTCTCTTTGTCGTCTGTCGGCCACCGATATTTCTGCTTGAAAAGCGTATTTTGTTCAGGTTGCATGCATTGCATAACAGCCTCGGTTCAGCCAAAGCCTAATCCCAGAAGAGAAAGTTTTGTTGAGCTAATCTTTTGTCAAACGTCCTCATGGGCTGCATTTACGATCTGCATGTAAAAAGCATGATCGTAAACACTCGCGGTTGGAAACAGCATGATTTTCTCCTTTTCTTCTGGCCCCGGTGGCTGCTCCGGCCTTGTACCTGAGTCATGCATCTGCCTTCCTCTCCTTTCGTTCTTCATGAACACGTTATGAAAGACGGCCAGGACTAGAATCCTCTGGCAAAAGACGTGAGAGTTCGGACCAAGCAATGAATGGCCTTAGTCTCTGCCGAATCAGTTGATTGTGCTCACATGACCGTCACCTTCGTTCTGTGAATATCAAAATTACCAGATTTATGATCTTAAGATCTTTAGGCGACTCGCAGTTGGAAATTTGGGATGATTAAAGAGTATTTGGAATACATGAAACATATAATTCAATCTTTGAGACGAATCTTTGTTGGTTGCACAGAGAAGAAGGAAACGGACTTCAAGCTATCACTTGAAACTCGAATCCAATTATACATGTACATTTACACTCCGCGTCCTAGGTCCTTTTTGCCTTGGCATGGCAATCTGTATGAACTTTGTCTCTTGGTTGCTCGCATATGGGTTCGTCACGAAGGTGACGAATGTGCTCGATCCGCCAACGGAGGTCAGAATGAAACTCGTGGTGATGCATATGCTTGAGAACTATGTCAACTGCTGTCATTCATCTGACGTCAAGTGGATCTACTTCACTTAGTGATGCTTAAATACCATAGCCCTTCTAGATCCAAAGGGCTGCAGCTGCTTGGAGTGATTACGGGCACAATTACGGGCTAGGCCTGCAAGGCTCTCGGTTCGACAATTTGAATATAAGTGAATATGAAAGTGAAAGAAGAAGGCAGTCACCACAAGCTGTAGAAGGATAGCAGTCGACATCAGAGCGAGTTCTTACGATCAAGTCCGAAGCAAAATCGAAGTCCATGTCAAGCGTAGCCAGCTCTAAGCTCGGGTCGGAGTACTGATGAAACTCTCTTGGCGATAGATGAGCCAGTTCCAAGCACACCTGGAAAGGAGGGCAGCTATAGTTAGCAGCTTTGGGCAGAAGGAGAGGATCCGCTGATGTGATGTGGATGCAGTAGAGACAGTTGTCGTCAGCCGCTGCTGGTGAAATTCCTTGTATCCTTTCTGTAGGCTGCTGTATCTTTCTAGTTGTTCCATTTCGTACGTGGATCCGAGGTTACGGGCTGAGCACACTTGCGTGCCAGGTTGACACCATCAACCATGAGACTACATCCCTGCCTGTATAAGTTTTGACTTGGTTGGATCTTATGTCCCAACAGAGAACTTTGCTTGCCTGTCGCTGAGCTCTTTCATCTCTGATTCAAAATATCCACTTCTGCAAGCGTTTACTCCCGGTGTAGTCCTTCGCAAGGAGGAAGCATCGACCCAGCCACTGCCCGCAGCTGTTATAACCTGCAGTCCCAACAAAGGCCTGCCTATCCTCTGAGCCGGCAAACCATGGCATAAACCTCAGTCTAGCTGGGAAAATAGGATGAAGATTGAAATGTGCTTATTCTATGATAATATTACATAGAGTAGGAAGTTTCGTTTCCAAGAGAGTCAAGTGTGAGATAATTATACTGCCAAACAAGAAAAGTTTGCAAACTTTGGCAGCTGATGTTTCACAAGTCTTAAGAAAAACGTAGGGCCATACCCTTGTCCTCTGAGCAATCGCAAGTTGTGCTTCACATTCTCGCATTCGAATTGTGAGTTGGTTGTGAGCCACAGTCAAAGTGGCTAGAAGCTTACTCGTACGCTTGAACGTCTGCACCCATTAATACGAATATCTTAACATCACATTCTCTGCGGAGTAAACTTTTAGAAACTTTTAGATTTTTAGGTGAACTAGCCGTGAATGAGTGTCGTGGTGCTACTTATAATCAGCAAGCTGTGTAAGGTTCGGCGTCAGTTTCATGACCAGGACTCGAGTTTCTTCCCAGGAGTCAGAAAGTTGATGATTTTTACCTTCTTTAAGACTGTGTACTTGCAACGGCATTTCTGCTTAATCGCCTTGACCACAAAATCTTCCCGTTTCTGTAGAGCAGACTTCTCTTCTTCCCATTTCCGCTGTATACAAAAGTCGAACTGATTCAGTCACCACAACGTGGGAGGACCTGTCTTGTTCCAGTGCGATTACCTTTCGTGGAGTCCTGTCTACTGCATACATAGTTAGAAACTTCTCGATTAGTTCACGTGGGGCAGTTAGGTCTTGCCGACCTGCATATCCTCCAACTGACTCTTATTCGTGGCTTGTTCTTTCTCACGAACTGCAATGGCTTCAGCGATCTCGAGTTTCATCGATTCAATCGTTCTCTCGAGTTCTTCTTTCGACTTCCTGAAGAAGCAAGCAAACATAGAAAGATGGCTTCAGCAGCAAGGGTTTCAACTTTAGTTGCGTCACCAGATACTTTCAACGAGACAACTAGTCATCGTGTAAGCGAGATGTACCTGTACTTGGCTTTCTGGCAAAACGACGCAAAACTTTGGACGATCACTTTTCGGTCACGCAGACGTTCCACATCTACCAGACGATCTGCTGCCTCTTTCTGGGCAGCCAACGCTGTCCCCAAGTCTTTGCGCAAGGTTTCACATTCCTGATGCCCGCGCCAAAGATGAGGAACCGACCTTTATCTGATGATCGTAAACACGAACTGACACACATCCCTCTCACGTATGTCGTGGGATGGACCTCATTAGAGCTGTGGGTACATCCAAGTAGTATTCTTTGTAGATTTGAAGATGATCCGCTTTCCCTTTTTATAGCTTGATGAGCACTTGCAATCAATTTCAAAGTACAGGAATCACCTTTTGCACTTCTGTTATTTCTTTTGAATGTTGAGATTCCGTAGCAGCCTTTGATTTCTCTAGAGCACTGAGCAAATTGCGCAACTCTCCGATTTCGTAAGAAGACTCCTTCAGCTTTAGGTACGCTTCTTGTTGCATCGAATCTTTAAGTTTGTGCTCTTCCCTGAACAATATATAAACATTTTGAATAGTTCATACCAACCTAGACTATGTGCAATTTCTCGTCCATGCCATTTCTAGTTAGAAGAAGAGAATTGCATGAGTTAGAACCGAGGAGATAGGCGACCTATCTCCTCGGTTGTCTTTCAACCAACTCGATCTTTTAACCAATTCGTCGTTCGTTGTTATTAACGAAAAGAACATACTGTTTACAGTTCAGCGCTCAGGTCAGATTCGGCCAAAACTTTGTAGGATGAAATTATCATAAGTGAAACCATTCTCAACTACCACTGCCTTGAGCTCGTAACTTTCAATCTGCCAACTTCTTTCATAATCCTTCCGCTTCTTCTTTAATTCTTGTATGCCAACTCTACGTCAATGACGGGACCTCCACCGGGAAGATAGATACACCCGCCGACTAAGGATCAAGTGTCGCAATCAGATAGTACAATAGACGGACAGGAGTTGCATTGCACCAAGTCATAGATGATACTTAGTGGCACTAGATCTCCTTTCGTGTTTCTTTTATAATTGCCCGAGGAAACTTCGAGTCTTCCACGAACTTGGAGACAGACTTACCTGAGTCTACGCAGGGCCTGCTCCAGATCCGTAATGATGGCGTCCTTCTCGTACGTGAGTGCTACGAGCTGCTGATGCACTGCTTCTCCAGCTGTAATTGCTTTTTCGAGGTCGATCTCCAGGTGCTTACACTGCTCCCGGGCAGAAAATCAATTGATGTCCGTTAGCAGACCAGTCATCCTTCGAGCTTCAAAGAAAGATTGGTCTTTAGATAATATCGACTAACGCGAATCGCTTCAATTGCTTCTCGATTTCTGGATTTGTTAGTGAGTTTCTTTTCGACCCAGCAAGAGCTAGCTTTTAGTGAGAAGTCTGAATATTAAACGGGTCAAGAAATAACCTTATGGGCCAAATCAGCTGCTTGCTGACGATAATTCTGGTCTTCGACTTTCACCAGAGCTAAGTTTCGTGCATTGTGCAACTCAGCTGCGTGTTTGGCGGTCACTGCGTCATCTTTTTCCAGCCTGAAGAGGTTGAGACTTATCTTAGTCCTACTCCATCATTCGACTTTAATCTTGTGATACTTTATCTTGCTCTGAACAAACAAAGGTTTGAGTTGCCAAGCATCACTTAAGGTTGCTGACAGGAATATCCCCACTTGCGACTTCATCGTCTTTTCGCAGTTGCTCAGCATACCACTATCGTATTCAGAATCTGCCCATGATTCTTACAGGATTGTCACGTTGTTCTGCCGATAGGGCTGGCTTAGACCGTTTGTGCAGTCATTAGGAGCTTGGCTACTTTCATTCCTTTGAGCTCTCCTTCATTCAACATCTTGCTTATAATGTTTTGTGAATTGCAAAAACCACTATGAGTTGAAACTTCTATCAGACCGAGTAACAATTTCGATTATTTGGATCTGACCAGACACTCGTCGATCATTCATTCCAAACACATTCAATCCAGATATATCCCCTCTAATGCAGTGGCCTTACTTCGTCTGATATTTGGCTCCCAACATTACAAATAAGATACGAGCACTAAAACATCGACAAAAAAATTGACCGACCTCAACACTTCTGTGGACAAGGACCGATCGACGTCATGTCCGTACCGCACAACTTCCAACATCTGACTCAGATCTTCGTTATTTCCTTTCATAAGAGCCACCTTCTTCTCAAGGGACATGTTTTTCTGCCCCAACTCGAGTGCAAGACCTGCTTCGGTCAACACAACACCCCAGCTTCAAACTTTCATTGAGCTTGAAAGATGTGAAGATTGAACGCGTAGCAAACATTTTTGGGGCAACTTTTACACACAGCTCTTAAGATCGACAAAACTTGAAAACTTATTAATTTGCTCCCAAAGTAATTCTTCCAAAAAGTTCAAAATCAAAGTAGCGAATGGTACATAACATGACAGTCTGATAGTATTTTGGAACTAGACCTTTACACCTTCTTAGGCTTGGTTGAACTAGATAACACCAGCTTTGTGAACAGCTTGTAGCACTTACTAAGACTGTACGTTTAAACCTTAACTTAGCGAGTGATGACAACGTTGAGTAGCTTTGACATGTGTGCCCAGAAGAAACTCTATCCCACATGTGTCTTTTTCAGAAGTTGTCTGCCTTAAATAGGCAAGTAGTACGTAAATCTTCATCCATACTGGGTCCGGCTATCGGTGCACATCTTCATTGCATTACAGCAATCGAAACAAAAATACGAAAGAACGAGCTATGTGCAGAGGGTGTACGTGGTCGAAGCCTAAAATACAGCTGTACAATTCTCATCTCTTCCACTCGCTAGCAAAAGTCGGATGTGTAGTTAAGTGCCTTCCACTGTGAGATGACTAAGGTCATATTCGCAAAGAGGTGCCTTCACTTGATTGATTTTAGCAATGATCACATTGCAGCCAAGCTCAAGATCTACTTACCGGAGATTTCTTCCCGCTCAGCCCTGAGCTTGCTCATTTCCTTCGCGTGTCTTGACTTCTGATAGTCAAAGTGGATGCAGTAACAAAACTTAACGCGAAGGATAGTCAATTTTGATCAACACTAGGAACGGAATCATGAGACAAGAGCCCGCATGTATATCTATTTTCATATATCCTCTTTGTAGAAAGGGCAGTGCATAAATGATAAGTACCATTTCTTCCAGCTCTGCCTCAAGCACCTCCTTTTCGCGTTGTATTGCACTGTGGTGCATGATCCCACCCTCCACTCTCGCCTGAAAGTGAATATCACACAAGACCCTACCTTGTAACTGGAAAAGGAAGAGATGTGCATTCAACAATGCACTGATTGATAAAGAGGGCAATTGCGGACGGGAACATAAGAAAAAGGTGGCCAGAGGTGAAACAACTCTCGATTGAGGCCTGGCCTCAGAGGCTCCTAGATAACACAGAGCAAGGACGGTGCGTGTAGCAACTTACTTTTTCAGCCTGCATATTCAAAAACGCTTCTTGGAGCTGAGCATTGGCCTCAGCCAGTTGTAAGTGTAGGTGCTTCAGCTGCAAGGGAATAAGCATAATCAGATTTCGCTTTTTGTGAAGTTCAATTAAGAAAGCCAGATTTCCACTCACATGTGAGCGAGGCTTTATCTGATACTAATCAGAAAGTCCGATTTCCAACTGCGGATTGGTACTACATAATTAGACTCTTGCAGGAACAAGCTGTTGTCATAATAGAATACTTCACCCAGATTCCACCCTAACTGCTTTAGCCTATCGGACGGGCCAGAGCTCTAAAGGTCAGAAACGAATGATGAGCAAAGTGGACACACCGATATCTCTTACACTAATTTGTTCCGATTATTCATCGTCTCTGACGTATAAGAGACGATGTTAGGATCGAAATAAGTTAGGTTTACGATTCGGCCCTCACAAAATTCATAAAATTCGCACATCGATGTTTTATGAGTAGGTGACAGATGGTCACCTGTGCCACCAAGTTAGAGCACACGCCTGGGGACAAAATCATCACCGTGGAGAAAATTCAGCCGTACACTCTAGAAATAGTTGCATAAGTACAGAATTCATTCAGACGACAACTCACATTGTCAAAGTTTCGTCGAAGAGCATTGTTGTGTTCAATAAGCTGTGAAATTCCTCCTCCTCCGTCGTCTGCCTCCGACAGCTGCTCCTTACTAGCGTCTGCAGGAGGCTCGTCACAGAACAATGGGTCAAACCCAAGCCCATCTCTGGACCGCGGATCTGCTTCTGCGTCTGCCATGCGGAAGCCCTCAAGATCGGTCTGCGCGATACTCTGCGTTACCACGAGATCTTGCTGCTGCTGATACGAAGCTGTCGTCGCCGAACATTGTCTATCGCTCCTCGACAGCTGCCCCTGCTGCCCCTGCTGCTGCTGCTGCTGCGCGGAATTCACTTTCTTCGTCGCAAAAGCGACAAAAGCCATCGCTGCTCAGAGGCAAACGCACTATCATCGCCAATGCACATGGTGTCGTGCGAAGACACAAAACTCGCTCTTGGCACGAGCGACGACTCCGCAGGCGCGCCATCCCAGACCTCGGTATGAATCCGTCAGAATTCAAATTACACCTCCTTCGGTCCGTCCCTCTCCCCACGGGCTCTGAGACAAAAGCCCGATCCTCCCTCCTTCGATCACCGTACATGTACAGTATACCGATCACGTACAGTGGCTCCTACGTACGACTCCCGCTCTTATGCCATACACTAATCGCAGGCTTCCTTCTTGGATTTCTTTGCCTACCGGCCTCCGTCCAATGTAAGCATTCTACATTCTGCTTTCGCTCGTACCGTAGCATCACCGACGCCATACGGTACAGACAGAAGCGGGTATTGCCCACTGACGTGGCCGGATGCGGGGTCCAGACGCAGGACCTCTTGCGTCCTGCGGAGTAGCGATTGTCGTCGTCGTCGTCGTCGTCGTCCAGTTCGATCATTCGGAATCGACGATTCCTGAACGCAGGTTTCTTCGGTTGTAGCTCACTCTGAGCCTGCGAGGCGTCCAGCTATCCGACCTCTGAGATGAACCAGGAAGGTGAACCACGGCGTTCGAAGTTTCGCTTGTGCAGATGAGTTTTGCTTCGAGGTGAATGCAGGTGAGCGGAGGCGAGAGTCGGGGCATTTTACCCTCCTAGAACCTAGAGAATTTGTAGGCGAGGGAGGTGAGAAGGAGCGCTGACGATTCGCCCGCGCAGAGTGCCATGTACCGGCTGTCTTGATGCGTACTCCAATACTCCGATTTGAGTATGGTGCACCAGCAGATCCATATTTTTTCTACTGCATGGCCCGTGTCGCAGTGACCACCCTACTGATGCTTGCTTGGGCTGGAAAGAGGATTTAAAAGAAAGTGGAGAACTGCCTTCGTACGAACGCACCGCCGTGCTCACTGCCCGTCGAAGACGAGATGCGACGGAAAGAAGAAATTCAGTCGACGACGACGACGAGCGATCACGTGACTGCTGCAGGGCGAAGCGGTTTGCGTGAGATGAATCGATCGAATCGAAGGAAGACCCTCCTGTCCCAGTACAGCGCAGGAGACTTCTTCGATCGATCGCCACGATTGATGGTCCAACGCTCTCTGATTCGTACAGTTGTACGCTGGGACCTTTCTCGCTTTAGCAGGGACTGGTGGACAGCAGATCTAGAGGCCATTTCATCGAATGCTGTCCAGGTGTGTCTGTCTGTTCATCGGAACTCGGATCGCTGTCAGATGCGTCTAGCTCCATAGAAATCCACGGAGAATGTATGTATATACTCCGGTGTCCGTACCCGGAAGGCAGGCAGACATCCCACAGACGCCATGGAATTGAAGGAAAAGGAGGAGGGCGAGGGATTTGCCCCCCCCCCCAACGGTCCCGATGCATCAGTCATAGATATTCGCAGAGTCTCAGAGTCTGAGGCAGAGAGATAGATCTGGGGAGGAAGGGCTGCAAACACGTCGTCCTGTGGGTGGACGAGAAATCCTCATAAAACCCTCGGTCCTCTGCACGGCGACGATCCATTCTCAGCCACCGGATGGCAGAAAGATGGTGCATCAATAGTGCTCGGTTCGGCTGGTCGCCGACAGAAGCCCTTTTCCTGAACCCGCCAGTGCAGTGTACAGGGCTCCTTCTCATCGTGTCCAGTGTTTCTGCCACGGCTTCGGACAGGTCTTTGTTTTGTGCCGGTGCATATCCATGCATGCTATGCGTCTGTGAATCTATCTAGCTATCTATCTGCGCTCTAAGCCACGACCCATAAATCGTTCCAGTACTTGGTCGGTCCGCCGACTTCCACTTCCGAGTGTACTTTCGAAACTGCATCTGTTGGTTGACTGTAATCACGGAAAGGCTGCACCTTCGAAGGAAAAGGCGAAGACGACGAAACCTGAGAGCAGCTGCGCGCTAAAATCTCCTCCCGCATGCTAGGTACAGTAGTGTTCCATGTCAACGTGATCCCAGAGGTCCCAGAATATGTGATCATCATCGTCGAGAGACAACGGGTCGCCGAATGGGTCCAAGAATCCACGAATCGAACATGTATCATTGCTCTCTTGCATGTGCCTGAGTGTGCTCTGTTCATTTTGTATCTCTGGCCTGCAGAGCCAGACATTCATTCATTCATTCATTTGGTTGCTGTCGATCTTCAATGCGGTCGAGGCTTCGAGGACGTCTGACAGCTTCTTTGCATGTGACAGTGCTGTCCTGTCACATGACAATCGTCGTCGTCTTTCGTCGTCCGGCTCTCGGGAACTAGAATCGTGTCCTTCATTGATAATAATTAATGAAAATCGTTACAAATTGATTCTGTCGATCCATGGCCATTTGGATCCGGCTGCAAGCGAGAGGTGCTGAAGATAATGATCTGAAATCACGAAATCGTACCTTCTCTCATGCAGTGCCACATTACTCATGATGCGCCACTTATTGCAAATGGGCTTTGGCGCATTTGCTGCATGTGTGCATAATCCAACGAGATTTGTTTTCTTCACAGAACAGCCCGTAAACAAATGTGAGATTAACAATGCTCGTTCGACTGGACGTGTCAGGAGCACATGTAAGTTCTCTTTTCCTCCAAATATTCTATTTTATGCGAAGTTTCATCAATCGGCGACCGAAGAACTGGTGCCGATCTATCTGGCCTGTTCCTAGACATGTGACTATTGCACTGGTCCAGGCATGGATCACATTACTCTTCATGACTACAAAGGGCACCAAGACCTTGACGTGACCCAGCCTATAGACGTCGACTTGTAGAGCACATGTAGAGAGAGAGCATGACAAGCTTTACGTTCTCTGACTTTCTACATTTGGACACACAAGAAAAGACTTCCACAGCTGCAGCTGCACATGTGACCTTTTCCGGCAAAGGACATTCACAAAAGAATAAAGATGGGAACATGGACTACAACAGAGCAGATAAACTATATCGAATGGCCAAGTGACTACTGTCGTACAAAGCCTGTGAAATGATCATCAGAGAAGGTCCAGGGAACCTGAATGTTGTGGACGTTGTGCAGCTGAGCCTTCAGAGTCCGAGACGTTTGACGTTCCGATCGAGAAACCACTTCCGCAACTTTGGGGGTAGTATATGCTCGGGAGCCAGATAAAGAAACATAGTTCGGAGAAAACATCTCGAGGTGGGGTCCTGGGGGCCGAAAGATCTGCGGAGAACTTTTCGCAGGGACCCAGAAGAATAGATTTTGAGATTATCCCACTTGCCATCTTGCTGATGGCAGGGTCCGTTTCAAATGCTCGATATTGCAACCCCTTACCCGCCTCCAGCCTCAGGCCCTATGCCACAGGTTGGGAAGCATGAATTCAGAGGGCTATTGGATGCTGCAACACATGAAGGTGGAGCATGTGCAAGTGTACTGGCACGCGTGAGCCTGGGTAAAGATCTGCAAACGTTACCGTAACGTTGATTGCTGCTATCATAACGAGGGGAATTGTGTGCCCTCGTACTAGTTCATTGCTTTTGAGCAGGAGTCGAACGTTGGTGGAGATTTTGCTGATGACAAGATGGTCGTACGTTTTGCTTGATTCGCTTCATATGCTGAGATATTTCTCCTGCTATGAGCACAGATTCAACAAGCTTAGCATATAAGATCGAATGAGATCGAGATCTTCGAGCAGAGCAAGTTGATCTCAAACTAACAAAATATATGAATCAGAAATTTTTTGACGACTTTCATTCGAGATACTTCTTCTGACATTCAGAGAACGCAGCTGGATTCAACCAGTAGAGCCATTCCGTACAGTGCGACAGTTCGTTCCAGAATGTTTACTGGAATTTTCTCGAGGTTCGGGATGCTCCTCCTCGATCTTCCGAGAGCCCGAGGACGTGTCCTTTGACTTCTAGCGTTACAGCTTTTAGTGCGCATGCCATTCTGCAAAAATGGCATGCATACTCCAGGAAACTTGTTCTTCCTCTGTTGCTCTTCTTCCTAGGTCCTGTGATTCTAAAGCAGTAGTACTTCATAGAGATTATACTCTATCTCGAGAGGTTGTGGAGGATTTGTGTCAGACAGCCAATGTGGGTACAAACTCAGCTTACCGAATGCATATCCTCCGGTCAATTGTAAGCAGGAAATTGCTCATGACCCATGGATAGGAGTTGAATTTTTGTACCTTTTGATTATTTTAGATTTTGGAGAGCTAAACTTCTCGTGGACGAATAAAAAATGCGTGCTGCTCTACGCATCGGACTTTCCCAAAGTAGCGAACTGAAATACTCAAGTACCTGGAGGACAGGAAGCCATCTCGTATGGAGTTGGCTATGAATAGGGAAGCTGTGTGTGTGTGTGTGCGGGCTTTGTGCTCTAGCTATTTCTGCATGGAAGCTACTCTTGGCCATTGGAGCGACATCATGCCATTAATTGCCGTCGAGACAAATGTGCATGAGTCAACTACGATCATCATTCAGGGAAGACGTCAAAGGACAAAAATGCTTGAAGTTGACGAGCTGAAAGTTGGATATTAACTACATTGACATTCTTCTTGTCTGGACCTTGATATACCTCATCTCCAACCGAGGGAGCTCGAACGAAGAGAAATAACGATAAATATATCGTTTGTATTTTCACAGAATTCTTCCCACCGAATGCCACATCCTGAACAGTTCCACATGTGTCGTAACGGATGAGTCGAAATAGAGTGAATTTGAATCGTGCAACTTGCATAGATGATGAATTCAAGGACCGAATGACCCACGGCTTAAATCGAGGGCATTGGTTTGAATGTATGAAATATTTGTGCCTATTCTCGCCTAGCGACTTAACTTGAAGTAGATGTACGTCACATTTAGAATCTTTCAACGCCCGGCTTGGAAACTGCGCTCTGAAAGTGCCTCAGTCTCGAAATATGCAGTATGTTTCAAATCCAATATTTTGCTTTTACGTATTACACGTATGGTGGCCACTTACATCTGTCATATTCGAGAATGTACACATAGAGACAGATTAAAGGCCTTGTGAAAGAGCACTGTTGTAGACAATGAGATCTACCTACGTTTCGATAGCAAAGACTTAATCAGCGGCCATATGCACGTATCCTTCAGCTCAGGGGCTCTGAAGATTCATCAACTCGTTGTTTCGTTATGTCTAATTCCAGGAAAGATGGGCCTATCGATGTTGGGGATAGTAAGCTGTAGATGACGAGCCCAAGACTAGACATGATCAAGCAATCTGTTCACTTCATGAAAGAGAATATACAGGTTGATGATGATGAATGAGCACACTATATACACACTCATGTATGTACATATTTAGCTAGCACACGATCGCTTCTTTTACTACTTCTGAAGAGCATGATGTACACTAATAACAATGAAAGCGTATGGATGTTTTTGTAACAGTTCCAGATCCAATGCATGAAAATGTCAACCCACTTCTCTTGATTTAACTAATGTAATGTATAGAGGACCACTATCCGGGGGACCCGATATAACATGCACAATACATGAAAGTAATCGCTGCTGCTGCCACCACCACCGCTACGTCTCTATTATCGACTGATTGTCATATGTTTTGTCGAAATAATCCAGAGTCCATGAGACAGGATAGTCCAGAAGTGTAGCTAGCTGAATGCTGATTTCAACGATTACATCTGTGAGGACGACCTAAACGCGATTTTGAATGAATCTGTCGCAGCCGCTTGAGTCGATGCCGCTTGTGAGTCAAGAAGCCTTTCACCGACGTCGACCGTTGAAACCGGGAGAGTTGTCATGAGTCTCGTAGTCAGGCTGGTATGTTGATTCATAGCTTGTAACGGGGGCCGTCATAGCCGGGGCTGAATGAACGTCCACTGTCAGCTGCTGAAACGCAGGACTGTGAATCTCCTGAAGAATGCAAAGAAAGATGAGCATTTCGTCAGACTAAGTTGGCTTCTGTTAAGTATGACCAGCATGGCGTTCTTGGATATTAAGCAACCCACTGAAATCATGAGCTCGAAGGCGTCGGTGTTGCATTCGAAATTTCTACGCTGAGCTTACGTAGTAGTCAGAAGACTGATTGATAGTGTTACCTGACTGTGAAGTGAGCCGTGTTCTTCTGACCTTGCATCTGCAAATAACAATCACAATGTACGTCGAGAATTATGATCTGACTCAAAAGTAGGATATCCACAGTTCTGTCTTTTGGCGTGATGTACTACTTCAGGTGCATGCATTGTCATGATCATGAGCGAATCGTTGAGAGAAAGATAGTGGACTTCACTCGAGTGCTCGAGCGCAGCGAGCAAAGCTGCAACTACTGAAAAGTCTAAATGACATACGTAAACGTTTGGTTGTAAGTAGTTAGTCATGAGAGAAGGCCGGGCATGAGCTTCCAAGTATACCAGCTGCAGCTTCAGGAGTCGATTGAAGAAGGCGGGAAGACAAGACCGGAGAGACCAAATAAGTGGCCATCAGTGCGACGACCAACAAGTTCAGGAGCTGCATCTTGGTTTCCATTGTTGGACTATCAAAAAGTCCCTTCGAGACAGGGAGGTATAGATAGATCGTTGGGCGCAACCTCAAAGTGAGCTGAGCTGAGCTGACTGAAGGATGTAAGATAGAGATGAGATGAGCTGAGCTGTGCTGTGCTGTTGGACACTGGCTGTTGAAGTGTTTACAGGGGGAAGTCGCTGGAGTGCGCTCGGTTTCTGTAGATCTATTGAAGACTCAATCCAGATATATATATGTACGACGTCAAGCAGTCGAGAAGGCTCGTTCGCTCAGGTGAATAATTGCAAGGGGCTCGTAACTTTTGACAGGTCGCAAGATAGTGCTATCAGTGAAGGATATCCAACTTTTGCTTTACGAAAAGACATGAGAATTTGACTTGACTAGAACACCGAATCTCGATCATTAATAGTATTCAATGTCGTAGACTCTTTCTTGACGGATCTCCCCAACACCAGTTGACATCTGACACCGGCGCATGCCAGTGCTCACTGCCCAGTAGGCTTAGGCTTCCGTGTTGAGTTCATAATCGATATGTTCTGAAGCAGCTATTTCCTCGGGTCTACAGTTACTCTCTTGCACTCCAAACCAGCCTGAAGCAGTGTACCAGTAGCAGGATTTCACCTCGTAGTCATACTGTGGTATTCTGGGCCACTGCAGCAGCAGCAGATACAACATTTTCACTCTCACGCTCGGGATGAGATGGTATTTCACTTTCTTCTTTTAAAACTCGTGCATGTGCCAGAGCCAGCACAGCCCAGCCCAGCCCAGCCCAACCAAAACGACCAACATGCGTAGCTAGGCGAGGCCAGGGCCTGAACTGAAGAGAGTTGACGCCTTGACTGGCATGGCCTGGCATCCTGGCCATGGGGGCCGCAAGGGACATTTGTGGGACCGTTGCTATAAGCATGAAGCAAACAAAAGACAACGGTGACCAAGTGTGCGGCTTTTAGATGCAGAATCTAGCCTTCGTTCAAAAGTCAAGCTATCTGTCATAATTGTCCATGAAACGTCGATTTGGTTGGTCGTTGAGGTATCTGGCGATTAGTCTCGTAGCCAGATAAGTTCATAGCCGACCTCGGAACTGCGTGGGTGAGCAATTCGATTGTCCTGAAGGTTCGATGTGTTAAGTCACGCTTTACCAGTCGTGCTCATCAGCCATGAGCCCCCTCACCTCTTGCCCACGTTCCGGTCCCCATTGTGAAGACCAAAAGACAGCGTTTCGCATTCAAAGGCTTCCAAAAGTCTGTGTGCACTAGCAACTCATCCTCTCCCCCTCAATGACATATGTATACCCACGTATCGGGCCATGCTTCGTATACTCAAACCATATAAATTCGACCATCCCCGCCTCCTCGACGACACTCTCAGAGTCTGGGCATTTTTATGACTCTACGCAGTATGCACCCCAGCTGGTCTCGTCATTGACTCGGCTTGACGTGAGGCATGCATGATGACTCATGGCATCAGGGCGTTCTCGAGTGCTAATGAAAGTAGACTTAGAAGTCACGATTAGCAGAGTACGTTCCGTTCAGTTCAGTTCAGTTCAGTTCAGTTCAGTTCAGTTGCGGGCTGTTCTAACTCGGTACGGGGGTCTGCTGGCTCTAACTCTCCTCACTCGGAGTGTGTGAATCTGAGGGTCGGAGCGGCACGAGCCAGGCCGTGGAATCGAGGAGAGCGAGGAGAGCGGAGGGACTTGACTGATGGCTGGAGGCTGGCGCGCCAGAGAGCAGGCGGAGTCTGGAACTCTGGGAGCATGGGGGTTCAGATAGTAGTAATGTACACAAATGGAGTGACAGGAGGGAGCTGGAGTCCTGGAGGGAGGAGCCGAAAGCGGTGGCAACAGAAGCCACCGAAAAGGACGCATAGAGGGAAACGAAGATTCAGGAACTTGATACGCTCAGAAGTGATGAAGATTATTGTTTACCAAAAACAAATCATATCTCTGGGTTAGATCATGTCCAGATTGATGACAAGTGCTAAAACCGATGAGATACTGCTCGGCTTTTGGAGCAATGTCTCACATAAGCCACACATATTTTGTTCCTGTCCAGATGCATAGCCTACGAGCCCAACTGTTGGCGCTTAGCTCACGCTCGCGGAGCCTACGGATTGTTGCTAAGGATCAAGGGAGCAGCGCTACAGTAGATCGCTACACGCCTCATGGAGTGAGCGCGCATGACGTCCGGGCTACCGAAAGTGGCCTTCTCCACGAATCTCTCTCTGCGCGTCTTTCTTCATTGCAGATCACCTACTGCACTCTGCCCTCTCCCTCCCTCCCTCCCTCCCTCCCTCTGACGCCGTCTGACTCGCGCGACTGCAGTCTACGCCCAGCCTTGGTTGGCGTCAGGACTCGGAGCCCGCGACCCGCGACCCGCCGCTCCCCACGAGTCCCCAGACGCGCCAGAAACGTTCACGCAAAGCCCGGCCTGTCTGTCTGGGGCCGCACACAGACCGCAGGCCGGCAGGCAGGCAGGCAGGCCGGCCGGCAGACAGACGGAGTGAGCGAGGGTGAGCGACGGATGGTCCAACAAGTAAAGAGTAACGAATCACGATATTCCACCGCTATCCGAATGTTATTGCATGCATCCAACCGCGCTTCATTGCCCGCCTAGTCGCATGTCAGCGTCGGACCGCGTTCCCATGCCAGCCTCGCCGCACTGCATCGGAATGAGCCTTCATTGCACTTGCCTCGCCACTTTCCACCCAGTCCGTAAGTTCCTTCGTTCCTTCGTTCCTTCTTCCGAGTTTCGATCCCCCGTCGCCGCGGGTATCTCCCATCCATGCTCTACCTTCCTGCCTTCATCTCTCGTCTCTGTCACGTCTAGGGCTTCGACGGACCGAACCTTTTGGTTACTGGGATGGCAGTCAATGGCCAAGGCTTTCGAAACTGTGTTGGATTATTCATTGCCACGAGACCACTGCATACCACGTTACCAATCGGGAGACCAAGTTTTCACTCAGATGACCAATTACAGTAGGATGTCTCAAAATTATGATTATATACTATCTTTATATGCCTAGCCTATTAAAAGCAACGGTAGGCTAGGCATGTAGAATTCTATTCTACTTCCCTTGATTTTCTATTTATTTGGGAGCACTTGTGATCTATGATTAATATGCTATCCAGCTAAAGTTCTACGAAAAAAGTGCTGGAAATTAAGGTTCTAGTAGGGTATTTCATGAGAATCCGGATTATGGAAGCACAACTATATTTTCCATATATAGCACTTGTAATTTTATGATTTATACAGCACCCAGTTATGATCTCACTTCCTCCGGTTCCCTGTTAAAATTTTGATACTTTTTGGTTGTGATATTTTGGCCTCCACATGCCTGTAATTTCTGTTGGTCCTGTATAGCAATTTCCGGGGAAAATCCACAATATGTGCAGTATCTACAGATGAAGCCAAATTATTACTCAGCCTTCCCAGAACATCATGAGACAGGTTAAACATTATTTATGAAACTCAACTTATGTATGCATGTCTGTTTCCGTCTATAGCATATGATCAGAATATGTGATTTTCTTGCATCTGAAAAAAAGAAAAAATTTGATAAATATATTCAACTAACCCTACTAATTTACCGCCTTTAGATAGGTTCTGCTTTTATTGTTGTCTTTTCTGGTTCAAAAGCAGGTTCTGGATAGACGGCGCCAAAGTTATCGATAGCACATTTTTACAATAGTAAAGTTTAACTCGCGTATATTTTCTTCTTGAAGAACTTATGATAGATATGTATAGGGGTCTACTTGGCAACTTATTCAGTGGTTATAGTCAACTCTTGAAATAATTCGGTTTCGACCCAAAAAAATCAGTTTTTGCATATTAGTTTGCGCTAAAATCTGCAACCTTGTGTCTAAGAGACCAATATGAATCTTTTCCAACGTTTCTCAAACCAACACTGTTCTTTAGCTATAGGCGTTTGTCCCTGTGGTCCCGTTTTCGAGAAGATGGGTTGATATTTACTGCTCGTAGTGCACCAAAAGTGATATTCATGTTTTTCTTGAATCCCAAAATGTAGTACGTTATGGGATGAGGACACAGATACTAAAATGTTGTTACTTTTTGTCAAACCTCAGAAAATTGCAAGCTTTATAAGGTCAACCCAATTTGAAATAGAAAGGCATACACCCTTACTTGAAGATTACACAATGAAGCATGTTGTAGGCATCTTCTACAACATGGCATCTGGCACGGGCTCCCCCATTTAATGACAAAGGCCTGGCTTCTATCTGCACACATCTTTTCCTCTAGGAAAATAGTGACACAAAGGTTTCTGCTCTCTACGTAACCGAAATAGTAAACCAAGCAACTTGCGGCCTTCTGCCGTAGAACGCTAGGGAGTATAACTAAGTAGAGTAACGAAAAACTTACAAGCAAAGGTTTGGAAGAAAAGGATCAGTGGAGCCGGTGCAGTCATTTGGTACCGGCGATTACATTATTGATAGGCCTGTTCAATAGAATTGATACGGCCTATCCTGAAACCGGAGCATCCAAACATGGAGAGTATATTACAGAACGGGGGATGGAGCGGAACTCAATGACGTGTTCCAAGTTGGATCATGGGTTCCTTACAGGGATTCTTCGATCGTTGCTTGTGTTATGGTCGAGCTCGGCTGTCACACATTCACGTCTGCACGGCCTGACGTGGTTGCAACGGGGGATTCAGTTCCAATGCTCGTCCTTCGTTGTTGTTTCCTCCCCCATACACCACAGGCCGCTTTCGTACGTGCTCTTCCTGACTTGAGCTCAGCAAATACGACTCCCCGTATAATTGCCGCTAAGGCCTGTGGCGCCTGTCAGGGTTGCCGCAGAGCTTATCCACAACGTTTGACGTGCTCGCTCGTTGAGTGTACTGTCCTGTACTGTACAGCACTGTACTTTGGGCAGTCGGCAGGGCATGGCAGAGGCAGGCACGCAGGGAGGCTAGGACAGGATTGATTGATCTAACTACCGTAGACAAATGATCAGATAGATTTCAGGGATTCCGGTTCAGGTTCAGGGCGGGCCGAGGGCGTTCTGAAGTGGTCAACCGTAGCAGCAGTGGTAGGACGTTCCACTTGAGCACGCCTACTACTCTACTCTACTCTACTCTACTCTACTCTTGCTCCGGGCCTTGTACTTGTACGGTCGTCCAACTGTGGTTTTGGACATACTTCACCATGTCTCCGCGTGGGAAACTACAGTCCGCGGGCAGAGCACCGA